AGCTGTATATATGAGAATCTGCCCTCCCAACGGGCGTGAAAGGCATTGCACGATGCAGACCCCAAATTTGAATCTCAGAGTCAAAGTCTCAGGCTAAAATAAGCCCGGTCGGCCAGTTTTTCAAACTCGGGTACCCCAGGGGCCCAAGTCCAACAGGTGCCCAGTGAAGAGTCACATCCCAAGGGCAAGAGTTGCATCATTCCATGAGCAAAAGCCACGTCTCATATTGAAAGGTCATATCCCACAGGCAAAGGACACTTCTCCAGGGCAAAACTCGTGTCCCAGAAGCGGCAGGAGTCACATCCCACAGTCAAAAGTCATGTTCCACAGACGAAAAGTCGTGACTCACAGACCCAAGCAGCAGCACACCAATGAAAATTTGGGAAAATTTCGAAAATTACCAGGCCTGGACATTCTGAAGCAAGCAGGCCCTGGGCATGTGGTACCGGGTCCAAGTCAAACCAAAGGAAGCGGAGGCTGGGACGAGTGAAGACTCCGTCCAAGTCAATATAAGGACTGGGCCGTGGGTATGTGGTAGTATCGGGTCCAAGCCATCCACATTTCGGACAGATGGCTCACTCGTGAGAAGTGTGGAAGTGCTGCTGAAGCGCTTGTGCGCTATCTGCGAGTGGCATGCGCAAGAGCCCTGCCGCGCAGCGCTATGCTGAGGAAGGGAGGCGGCCATAGCCGCTCAGCTAGTAGTAGTGGATAGAGCCAAGTAGTAGCGGATGTATTCAGAGTCAAGATTCTCAAGTAGAGAGAGGGGGAGAGAGAGCACATGCATGAAGAAGACAGGGAGATAGAAAAAAAGAACGTGAGCCAGAGAGAGAGAGAAGAGAGTCACCTACCTGAGTGAAGATGCTGGACATGGGTTGTTGAGCTCTGCGCCGTCAAGCGCTGGTGACTGGAACTCCGACGCTGTTTCATATGTTGGAATTTCTAGGCTGCGCTTATCTGGACTTTGCATCACCGGTCTCCGGTGTGGATTTCGTGTAATCTCTCAATGTGTGTGTGCTCAAGGTGTCGAGCAGTGAGGCTCAATGCAGGCGTTACAACCCTCAGCAAAACACGGCAGTAGAGGGAGAAAAGCAACAGCTCTTTGGACGTGAAAGCAGCTGGATACAGAACATTTGGTATATGTGAGAATCCGCCCTCCCAAAGGGCGTTGCAGCCCTGAGCAAAAAACACAGCAGTATGGGAAAAAAAAAGAAAAAACAGCAAAAACTCTTTGGACATGAAAGCAGCTGGATACAGAATCTTGAGTACATGTGAGAGTGCCCCTCCTGGGTTACAAGTGTCAGCTGTCCGTGGAAAGCGCCCTGCCTCATTGGCAGGGCACTGAAACTAAATTAGAAGAAAAAAATAAAAAACACAAAAAACATAAATCAAAACTAGCAACGATTCTGGGCAGATGCATTTCTGGAAGCACTACTGTGAGCACACCTCCTTTGTGGCTTTTCCCCCGACGTCCTTCCTTTCAACTCTGCAGTTTTGGTTTTCTTTTTTTTCTTTTTTTTCCCAGTCGGGCCCACAAGGCCCAAACGTACCCTTGCCCGGACCCTCAAACTTTTCGGTTGATGTCATTTTCCCAATCGGGACTACAGCTGTGAAAGGTAGCGGTGGTTTAAGGACTCTGTTGATGGGTTATATTATATATCTTGTCATATTATCATATATTCTGTTTGACAATAGAGTTATATTATATATCTTGTCATATTATCATATATTCTGTTTGACAATAGATGCATATTCAAAGGTAAACAAAAGAAAGAAAGGTAGGTGATAAGTAATGAACAAAGAAGAATAAAAGATGGGAGAATGTAAATACAAGAAAGTGTACGACCTACGGAACAGATCCTGTTCCTGAGAGATGACTACCACATCCAAGGAAGGCAGCAGGCGCGAAAATTATCCAATCCTGATATAGGGGGGTAGTGACAATAAATGGCAATATACTGGGGGGGGGGGGGGGGGGGGGGGGGTAAAAAGACGAAGATGGGCGAATGACACTGAATGTATGATGAAGAGAGTTTTTAAGAGACTGATTTAATTTTCTTTTTCTAAATGCTGCTGCCTTTTCTGTCAGGTGGGCACAAAGAGGGATAGGGACACCGTTGACGAGACCACAAACAGGATAAATGCTTTGCTATTTAAGGTCAGTTTCCTGTGTGCTGCTGGATGAGCAATGCAGATGCATGTCTGATGCCGGCCCACTGAGATTGGAGTGAGGGATCTTGTGAATGATCTGTAAACAGTGTAAAGCTGAATCTGAAGTTGCACTGAGGGCAATTGTGTCTTGAGATTATTTGCCGATGTGTATGGCTGCTAGTAGCTTGTTACACAATGGCACATAGTACATACTACATACCCATTAACTGCTTCTTTTCTTTTTTTTTTTCAACTGCTTCTTGATAGGTGTTCAAGTTAGTTCAACCCTTTTAAAAAGACGCACTTGCATAAATAACTGCGAGGATCCAGGCCCCTCGGTCATGCAGAAAATGCCCTTGCTCGGCCGCTCTAAGTGAAGCAGGCAGGCAAAATTGAAGCTGGCCCTAAGTTGAAGGCCGGCCTGAATGAGGGCCCCCCTCCAACGAACTGGTAGGCCCATCCCACCACTTAGTTACAGAGGCTGGGTCTGCACGTTGACCCAGTAGACCTGCTGGGACAGGACTGAGACTGGACACGACCTCCAAGAGTAGCACGGAAGAGAGGAGGCCGCCCGGCCAGAGACGTTTGGGCATTGTGCCAATGTGCCAATGTGCTAGTGCTGCTTGTGCGGTAGCTGAGCGCTGTGCCTGTGGAAGGAGAAGCTGTTGTGGTGGCAGCGAGAGAGAAGGCGCTGCTCACAGCTGGCTGGGTCCGAGCTCTGCTGAGTGGAGGAAGTGTGGAGGCCGACAGGAGAGGAAGGCAGTGAGGCACAACAGGCAGGCACTTACCTCGTGTTGACGAAGGAAGCCTGAGTGAGCAGAGTCTTCAAGCACTGGGTGATTGCCACGCGGACAGACAGCTGGCATGCAGATAGATAGGCTAGACTGGTAGGAGCTAGGAAGTAGAAAGAGGTAGTCAGGCCGCCGGTGCGAGTACTACATTGTAGTTGTTTTGATGATCGGAGGTGGAAGGAGGGCTTTCTGTATCGAGAGACTTCGGTGTGCATTCCACTTTGATTTTCTGCTCTCAACTTGGCTCAATCATCTTTGCTTTTCTGGAGATTTCACAAATCTGGTTTATTGGTGTTTTCATTTATCGTGGTTACCGGCCCGGTCGCCACCTCTTCTGGAGATGTCGCAATCTGGTTTATTGGTGTTCTCATTGCATGGTTCCTTGCGTAACAGAAAATGTTATCGTCAAGACTGACTTCTCTGTTTGAGCTCGAGTGATTTCATTGGAAAGGTCTAGAGTCTCTAGACTCCAGAGTATACAGTACAACATCTACATGTTATTCTCCAACCCGTACCGCCAGGGCAACTTATGGGCCGTCCCAATCTGTGAGGGTACTTGGGACATTTATTCTCATTTTTCTTTTGCTGCTTTCGACTCCCTTGCAGGTTCGGTCACTTCGTCTGTCAGGATCTTGTGCATGCAATTTGGCAGGGGTTGCATGTGGGCGACTGGACATGTTTTATGAGATAGGATTTGGAGGTCCCTGGTAAGATCTGCGGCCCCATATCCTCGCTTTGCCGTACTGTTTGTCGTGGAGCCTCACACCTCATTCCCACCCTTTGCTTTTTTTCCTTCTGGGATTATATTATCTTATCCGAACCTGGGCGCATGTGTGTTGTTTGTGTGTTCATCTGCATGTATCACATGTCCAGCCACCAAAAAAACATCCGAGATTGGGAATGCCCACAGAAGGAGAGAAAGGAGAAAGGCAGCAGGTCGGCATTCGTCTTGTACAGCACCTGCCTGCACAGTCGCAGCATCTTTGTGGTGCAGATTATGCACGTGAACGTCGTGAAGAGGTTTTCAAAAAAATTGGGAACTGAATCAAACAATTGCTCAAATCTAGGAGGTGATTAACACAATTTCACAGTAAACAGTGATTTTTTTAAAACATAAAAAGAAAAATGTTGGGATTGGGTTTCTGACTTTGGTAAACGGTGAAAGTCGAAGATTGGAAGGTAGTTTTTGAGGTCGACATCTCCATTTATCGTGGTTGCCGCTCCGGTGGCCACCTTCTCTGCATGCACACAATTCCATATACATCCTCTGGGGCTGACTATGGAAGTGAGACTCAATGAATTGAGGACCCATTAGGTGCAGCCTCCTCATATGTGGACACCGCAACTGCTGGTTGCCCTGGATTGGGGGGCGGGTATGTTGCAGTACAGATGCAAATGCTGGCACTACTGCCTGCTGTCACCAGGGAACGCAACGGACGGGCACAGTCAGTCATGGCGTGAGAAAGAACAGCTGGGAGGAGTGGTTGGCTGCCCGCGGTCTTTCCAGGCAGCCCTTGGAAGACTGGAGTGACCAGATCCAGCCCCGTCCTCCGAACGGTGTATGCATGATGAGCATCGTGCTCCCGTGTGCTCTATCTCTGCTCAGCTGAAAAATTGTGAGATTCTCCGCCAGTCGTCACAGAACACGAAGGGGAGCCAGCAAAACTAGACAGAAGCCCCTGGCATTCGTGGAGTGGCGATGCAGCGGTAACTGCGCACACCCGCCATGTGGCTGGCACGTGTCTCCCCATCAGCCCCCCGTCTCCCTTTTCCTCCCCTTCTCTCCTCTTCCTTCTTTCTTACCCCTCCGCCTCCTTATGGCATCTCCCTTGCCCCTCAACCATTCCCTCCCCTTTTTCTCCTTCCCCTTTCCTTTCTTGTTCCACTCTCTTCTCTCCCCTTCCCTTTGTCCTCTCTCCGCTCCCCTTTCTCACCTCATGCCTCCCTGTTGCCTCTCTTTGCTTTCCAATCCCTGTCCTCCTCCCTGGGGGTGGCATCAATTAATCCCCCTTAGCCCTCCTATGATCACCATATTGATGCGTACCTTTGAAGGATGCGATTGGTGTTCTGGTCAATCGGAATACTGTGATATTGCATGCTTGTGTCTGTACGTGCGAGAGTGAGAGCGAAGCGGATGAAATTGTGTCTGTTGGAATTCACTCTGTTTGCTTGCACGACTAGGTGAATCGGGGCTCAGTCTCCGCTACTGACTGACCCTTCCCCTCCACACGTGCCATGTATCCAAAACTGAGGAACGACGAGGGCGAGGGTTTTCTGTACGTGCCCGGTACCCAAAATGTCATACGACCTTCCGCGAATCCACTGGCTTCCAATTGAATTGGTGTTGGGAGATTTGACCTGCAGTGTGGTGATACACTGAAGGGAGAACGACCAGGGCGAGGGCCGTCTGTGAAAAGAGGATGCATCTGTGCCTTTTCCTGGACTGACTTTGTCCGTTGGCTAGACGAGCTGATCCGCGCTTCAGTGTCCACTACTACTGACCTTACTCAGCCCCACGTACCTTTTACTCAAGATATGGCCTGTAACAGACAGCCTTGCCTTCCGATCAGACTGCCAGCCGTAAATTCGCCATCCGGGAGAAGACAGAGAAGTAAGGGCGTCGCAGCAAAACGGAGAGTGGGGGGAATGGCTATCGTTGCTGTGGTGGAGTGCGAGGGTTGTTCGAAGCAGTTGCAAAAAACCACCTCTCGACCCTCATATGTCACGACGCATCAGCCGATGCCTGCTGACCCTGCAACAGGAACAGTGCTTCCCAGTACATGGTCACAGGTTCAGAGCACTATGTCGGCCCCCCTGGCTGACCCACCCCTCCCAAATGGAATAACCCTTTCCCTTGCTCACCGCACTGACAAAGCCTCCTCAGGCGGATGACGCCCACGGGTCCTCTCTGGATCCGATACGCCCGTTGAGAAGCCGCTACACCAGAGAGTTGCAATAGGGCGCTCCCCCTGACTGACCCGCCCCTTTCAAATGGAATAACCCTCTCCCTTGCTCACCGCACTGACAAAGCCCTCTCAGGTGGATGACGCCCACGGATCCTCTCTGGATCCGATATGGCCGTTGAGGAGCCGTTACACCAGAGAGCTGCAAAAAAAGGGCGCACTGAAGAAAGTGCAGGAAAGGGACGGCTTCCTCACGGTGCTCACCCCAGAAGCCATCCCTTGCAGAAACAAGGTGTTCCTCGCGAACACCATGCAATTCATCTTCCGCGCGGATCACAACCACATGACGCGAAATGAAAAACTGATGTGGGTGCAAACGAAGTTAGAGGAGTTCAGGGTGACTTGGTGAATGAACACGTCCTTCTGGAATCTGAATCTCCGTCAACCATAGCAGTGCTAACCTCCTGCAAGCCTGAGATGTCTAATTTGCTCAGACTCGCAGACCTCACCTTCAAAGACAAAACCTGTCGTGGTGCAAAAGTGGCATCCTCTCATTTCACTCTCACCGAATGAGAAGCGGGAGCAATTGATGAGATAATTTTTTGGGGTGGAGTTTCGATTTGCTCCCATGCATAATATACAGGGGTCTTATCTTGGAAGATACGCATATACAGGGTCTTATCTTGGAATATATGCATATACAGGGTCTTATCTTGGAAGAAGATGTGCAAAGAATAGCACCTATAACAGGCTATGTAAACAAGCTAACCCAGGCTGTTCCCAAATGGGATGACTATCTCCTTGTTGGTATAGACTGGGACAAAAAGGTCCCGTGGTCCCGTTCCCTATAAAGCCTGAGTTGGTCTACCTCTATGTGGGTAAAGTTCATGTGGTTCCTATCAACCACACTTGCGAGCTGTGGTGCTATCTCTAAGAGCATCTCTGTGACGACACGGTGTGACCGCTTTCCAGAAGGAGGAGCATGCCAGGACTGGTTTATCCTCACCCATCGGGATAAGGACTATGGCTACCAGAGGTTGAAGATCTAAAGAAGTGAGTTTTCATTGAAGGAAAACAACAATGCGCCTGGAAAACGGATCTGGCAAGGTCACGGTAAACCGCTGGAGTGCTCGGATAGTCAGGCAGTCGTATAGGTCCCTCCGACAACGGTTGGGACCCACACTTCAGCTCCGCCCAGGACCGCCTCCACCATCAAGCAAAACGCCAACGCGGAGCAAGCAGGTGCCGTGAAGCCCAGCCGGCTATCCGGGCCTGCTCAACGGCGACTCGGGGAACATCCAACTGTAACCAGCCTGGGCATCAACAACATGGGCCGAAACTGAGTCTCTCCCGCCCCTCACATACAGGATCTCGTGGGGAGCACTCCAAACGCATCACTTACAGACCAACAGCCTGCTGATCCCCTCCAGATAACTCCCAGCCCGCCCAAACAGGAAGGGGTTAGAACAACAATCCCACAATGCCCACATATCATACAATATTGGACAAAGCGGATATGGGTAATGAACTTACGAGGACCAAAAATGGGCAAAAGAGCAAGAAACAGCAGCTGCCCCATCGCTGAACTGAGAATGTGAAATGCACGGAAATGATAGCTTCTGTCACAGATAGATCGGACTTAAAAAGAACGGAATTGATCTTTTCAAAGCTCTGAGTAATCCGTCAGCCCCTGCTCAGGGATTTGCCAACAGTGGAAGGGGATAAATATATTGAGAATCCCTCCCAAGCACTAACCCAGCGGCCCGAATGTACTCGACGGGTAAGACTTGTGATCGATCACTATACAGAACGATCCTTCGGCCCTGCCATCCAGGACCTGTCAATGGCGCTCATGCCGAGGCCTGAAAATGTGAGTGGGATATCGGCGAATCAGACAGGTGGGGAACCTGGGGGTGGAGATGCTCAATCGACTCCATAACAACAGGGGGCACATGATGGTATGCTGCATGTGCATGATCAAGACAAACAGGAGTATACAATGTCATCTGACTCCACAGCGTCTAGACCGGGCCTGTGAACTTTGGTTGTCCTGGTGGCTTCAACCCCAGGTAGCGGTCGCGGAAGTAGGGGATGTGGACCGGATTTGCTATTATTCCTCCTCTACCTCGTTGTCTTCTTTCATCTTCTTGCTTCCTCCTCCTCGTTGTTCTATTGTGCTACTCATCTTCCCTGCTGTTTTCAGCCTCATTCACACTATTTTCATTCTCCTGCGCACTCTCCCTCCTCTCCCCCCCCCTTTTTTCCTCGGTTTGCTACTCCTCTTCCTCGTTCCTATTCACCTGCCACTCCGCCTTCCCCTGTTGTCATCGCCATTATTGTTGCTATGTGCTCCTCCTGGTCAGCATTGTCATAGTTGTCGTCATTGTCGTTACTGGCGTTTTTCTCCATTGCGGTGGTCATTGATGCTGTCATTGTCGTCGTCATCTTCTTTCTATCAATAAGTCTAGGCATAGGCTCATGGACCACATAACTCGACAGTATTTAATTTGATGAAGATTGATCGATAAGAGGTAGTGTATGTACGATGTAGCCGCTCGGTCCCTCAACAGTGTTGGATGAGGTACATTGCCCTCTTTGGAAAGCTGGGGAAGATGTCGTTGCCCTTGTCAGATCAGAGACTGACAGTATTACAGACATGTCCTAGCGACGGATGGAGCAATGTCACGGGACATTCAGACACATGCACATCAGTGTCTTTTCCAATAGTTGGGGAGGAGGGTTGTCCTGTATATGTAAGTTGCCGTATTTCACTTCACTTGTTCCCAGTGTTTGCTATCATCTCCACCACTCACACTTATCCTCATCGCTCACTGTTGTTTACGTTATCATTTTGACCACCAATGATGTCATCATTTATCCCTCACTAACTGATAACGTCATCAGGCTCATCACTGTTTTGTTAACTTTTTTTTTTTTTTTTTTTTTTTTTTTTAAGCTCTAGTACCTTTGGTGCGTGGGAAACTAGGGAAAAGTGGACGTTTTCCCAAACTCCTAAAGTTTCGGAGGCCGGGCCTGACGACAGCTTCCATTGATAAATCGGATCGGCGGCCGTCGTTTCGTTTCGGCCTCCGAAAAGGTCGGAGGCCCACTGGAGGCCCGCTATTTTCCCACGCGCCAAAGGTACTAGTGGTTTAACTAAGGTTACTAAGCTATATTCTTCCCTTATATGCCTCACACTACCTATCCTGATATGTGAGTCCAGTTCTGCGATTGGTTGCGGTTATGTTTTAACTCTCCCTAATAATTCCCAGCCTCTGCTCTATACGGGGAGCAGTACCCCGGCTCCCAACACCCGGCGCGAGCTGGAAAGGACGAGCCAAACCCTTCCACAACCACAGCCGGGAGGCCCAAACTGGTTATCTCCACTGGTGAATCCCAAGGTCTATGTATCACCGACGGAATGTCATCACTGTTATGATGTCTTACCATCTCTGCTGTCGTCATTTCTCCCTCCCTGCTCCCTATCCTTGTTGTTCTTACTCTAGCGGCGGCTTCTGGCAGCTTTGAACTTTTAGTCTGCCCACTGCAGTGCCCACCCTACATCCCAGTGATGTCGTCATCCTTGTTATCATCGAGGCTCTTTCCCTTCTTTGCCTCTCTTTTCTTTTTCCTCTTTCCACTTGTTATTGTCACCCACCTCTCCCTTCTCCCACTTCTGTTGTTTTGTGTGTCTTTTTTTTTGTCTTTTTTTTTGTCTTTTTTTTTGTCTTTCTTTGTCTTTTTTTTTTGTCTTTTTTGTCTGATTTCTCAGCTCAGCAACCCCTCCCTCCTTGCTCACTAGCTGGCGGTTCACTCAGTGGCCGAATGGCTGAACAATGGGCAGCTGGAGGCCACTGCAATGAAGCACGTGCTCCGATGCAGACTGCTCAGCATATCCCCCTCTACACCAAACACACCAAAACACCAACATGAAAGCTGCGGATTTTGCCGAAGGGGACAACAATGGACACGGAACATGAGAGATCCCCTTCTTGACATATTCCTCCTAACTTCTCCACCCCACAGTCATCTTATCTTTGCCCATTGCAGCACATGATGGTTTCGTCAGACATTTCTCTATTCCAGCGTCTGCCACACTCAGGGAACAGGGGAGGGGAGTATCAAATGCTGGGAAACTCTCACTGGTGAACCCTCTTCCCAGGCTCATAGTCTCAAGTGCATATGGCCCATACCTTAAACCGCTACCGTAGTACGCGGTCCCAGCCTTGCTGAAAAGAAACTCGTCGCCTACGAGTTTCTTCCGAAAGGACGGTGCAGGTGTGCGCCGTCGATAAAACGAATCAGTGACCTGCGTCGCCTACCGGATTCTGACGCGCGCCCGCGGCCGATACCTGGATGTACTTGTGCTTTAAGCGTCATGTAAACAACGAGGCACAACCCTCTTCAAGGTGTCCTCCATGGCCAAGCAGTGGTGTCGATGAAAGAAACTCTCTCTGAGGTGAGAACTGGCAGCGCTTCCACACTAGAGAGCCGGCAAGACAAATAGGCAGCCTGGCATCCTTTGCTCGCGTCCAAAGTTCCCCTACTGCCTGGAAGGAAGCAGCTCGTTTATGAAATGTTTGAGGCTGGCTGTCCGCTGATCCTCCTCCCCATCCATCCAGTTCCCTGAAAGCTCAGGCCTTCAGCAGATTCTGTTGGGCTCTGCAGAGGTGTTATGTATTTGGCCTGAATAGGAAGCAGGTACGTTAAAGGGCCAGCAGTAGGAGAAGCATCAGCCCTTTAGACCTAGGAAAAGTGTGGTCAAATACTTCAGGAATCAGGATGGCATTTGCAGCTAAATCCCTTTCAGGGAAAATTTCCAGAATATCCTGCGCGTGATAGTTATTTAAACCTGGGTACGGACGCCGCCCGGCCGGGCAAGAAAACACCCCAGATTTTTTTTTATTTTTTTTTTGAAGACGGGGTCGTCCTGTGCTAGACGAGAGGACCCCGAATCTGCAATAAAATTATGGTTTGGCGGGGGGGGGTTGTCTGG